GGTCCTTCAGGTTCTTTTCCCAGGGAAGTTTCCCACACAGCCACCGCAGCATGCAGTAGCCAAGGATTTCAACGTCACTTCGTCTGGACAGGGCTGTAAGAGTAAGCATTAGGAGAGAAAGATGAGGGATAAGCAAGTTCTTGAGAAATGGAGAAATGTTTGAGTGAACTACTATTGATGAAATATGAAAAAGCCAAATGGGCAAAGTGTTTTGTTTGTTCAGCTGGAATAAAACTTAAACGCCCTAGCATTTGGCCCCAGTCCACAGACAGGCAGTGACTTGTTGCTGTTGAAAGTAAGGGTCAGTTTCCTCACCTCCTCCAACTTCATCTTTCCTAAGTCTGGCCTGTCACATGAACTTGATCCCCATGGCCTCTGACATGATCCAGACAACCCATAACCCGGCACCAACACTTTCTCAAAGAGCCAAGCAATAAAACAAAGAAATAAATGTCTGCAGCTAAATTGCTAACATATGTTCCAGGAAGTCCATGGGGTCTGTACTGGTCATGCAGAGACCCTTTGAGTGCAGACTAAACATTGATGGCCTTTCCTGTTCCACTCACACTAGCAGTGCTCGAAGTTGGAAGAGTATGACAAAACTGCCATCTAGTGTGCAGTGCTAAAAAACAGATCCGTCTTAGGATTTTTCAATTATATGAAAGTACACTATGTCTATTGCTTCAATATACAGCACTAAAATTTTACAAATATTATTTTTAGATAAAAGCAGCAACAAGCTAAAATTCTGGTCCCTTAGCCTCAACAGAAAACATAGAACTGAAGCAATGGAATGAGGGCCTGGGGGAGAGGTGGTGGGGAGGAGATTTTGAAGCCGCTAGAGGCTTTCAAAATTTAATACAAGATGGCTTTTCATGAAAAATATATTAGAAGAACATTTTCAGGTCCTTGTAAATGTTTATATTGCTATTAAATGTTGTAGACTAATTTCATAATTTTCATTATTTTTAAGTGCCTTATATCAAAAGATGGACAAGGAAATCTATAAAACATGTCAAACAGAACTGACATTTATCAACAAATCACTGAAATAATGATTAAAACATTAGCAAATGCCCATAAAATAAACTCATTTTCATAGCCATTCCAAGTTGTTAGAAAACAATAGGCTGGTATTTACATTTCTACTATTATTTGAATGTTCATCTGTGTATTGACATATAATCTCCTAAGAACAAGAAGTGGCTGTTAAATCTGCTATAAACAGGTATCGTATTTTATGACATTTCATTAAATAAACTCTGAAAAGTTACTCAGTGAACTTAGTTTTTCATTTAAAAAGTCATTTACCAAAAACAATGTTGCCGGCACATCATAACTTCTTTTGGTTACCATACATAAGTTATAAAAACAGAAGACAAGATTAGCTCTTACACACACTCTATCTTAACTGCTATTAGAGCACTGGATTATTAAAGGCCCTTCAATCTAGCAGAATGCTACAGTCCCATGGGTGCCATTTGCTATCTGCACAAGCTTCAACAGTGTCCTAATGCAAGACTTGGCTCTCCTATTAAAATAAAAACACAAGCTCTACCACACTCTTCTGTAGTGATTTCTTTAGTAATAAATCTCCCATTAATAATGGAATGGTTCCATTTGTACAGATGTGTTCACAAGTCCCTTTTCCATTACGGCAATTCCCGATTACCACCACTTAAGAAAATTCACATCCTCTAATTTTCAAAAAATGATATTCTGGCACCTGTCTGGATGACATAGGCTACATACAAGAAGCCCTCTGAAGAAAAACAATCAGAATTAAAACCAAATGAACTTTCCTAGCCATATTACCCCTGCCCCCCACCAGCTGAGGGATTAATTGATATGAAGCTGTAAGTAATGACAAGTCATTTAGATTCTGAAGCCAATCTTTCATAAACTAGTCTTCATTTGAAATAGCCCTCTGAGAGTTAACTTTACTTCACTATTATAGTTTGGTCTCATCTAATTAAAATACATTATCACATTTTTCACCCTTTTATTTTTTTCTACTGTACATATACATCAATAACTATTGTTAGGTAAGTTTTTTTAAAACAATGTTTCTACTAAGTCCTACACATAATGCTAAAACAAATATTCACCTTTTTTTTTTCCCATTAAAGAGATAAAAGCATTAAAAATGTTTCTGAGTACATACGTCTTATCTGAAATTCCCTCCTACAGAAATAAATTGAAAAGTTTGACTCATTTAGTAAAGTTACAATCTTAGACTTTATCAATGTCTTTTTTCCATCTATTGTACACAGAAGACTAGTTTTAATATCTATTAATTAAAATCAAATATGCTAGAGGACAATATTACAATCTATGTGTGCATGTATAACTTACACAGAATTGATCATAGTTGAAGAGGAATATTATTATCTAATTATAAAAATGTTTTTTTAATTTGAAAGTTGTTTCTTTCATTATATGATTTTTAAGTTCATTCATTTAAAACATGGTAAGTAAAGTAGTAAATGGAAAAGAGCTCTGGACTAGGAATGAGATCCAAGTCTAGCCTAACCACGATTACATTTCAACTCTAAGATCAGATGATGCCAGGCAACAAATTTCCTTTTAATATGGATAGAAAATATACCATGAGTTGTTTTGTTTCTGATTCATCTATTTACATAATGTATTATAATACATAAGGTTCTTCAGCAGCATTTGGTAATTGATCTAATTATTAAACAGTATGTTTTCATACAAATGTCCTAAAAATCCAACTTTTACTATTGTTTGGAATCATAGTAAGATTTAGTTATTAATATTTTTCCTACAAACTTTCTCAAGTTAGTTCCTAAATATTATTTAGCTTCTGATTTATATTCAGCTTAGAAATGTTGCGCAATGTAATTCCCTCTCTGTTGAAAGTCTGTGGTATTTTCATTGTTCAATGTTTCTAAATTATAAAGTATTGCTAAGAGTAACAACAATAAGAAAGGTACAGGTGCAAACTTAAATTCTATTTCACTAAAAAGAAGATTCCAAAAACAGCTGACAGTGGAATACATAATTGAAATTAAAAAACTGATGTGATTTATGGAGAGCTGCTACCGTGCCAGGCACTATAACTGCTTTCCTCATTTAAGTGTTCGAGCAATTTAAGGTAAATATTATTAACCCTGTTAACAAATAAGAAAAATAAGAGTCTCAGAAAAGTTAAATAACTAACTCAATATCAGAGAGCAAAAATTCACAGAGTTTTAAAACTGAAATTCAAGTCTTTCAGAATCCTAAGCCTATATTCAATCTACCAATTAATAATCCTTCATTATTAGTTTTAACACTATTCAAATAGTATTCCACAACTTCTGTAGAGAGGGAAGTATTTAAAGAAGACATTTTAACACTAAGACATGCTAACACAAAAACAATTGTACTGGCAAAGAATAACTAAGCAGCAGATCCCAAGATGTAAGCTGCATCACTGACCAAATTTTCATGCAAGTAATCCTTTCATAAAATGATTTCCTGTTACTTCATTCTGATAAAGAAAGCTCTCTAGTCAAAGTATTTATTCCTGAAGTGTTAAATGGTCCTTCCAAGCTGGTACAAAAACAACAGAGAAGTGATCTGAGAGAACTTTTGCTTGTTCTAAAGACAAAATGGAGTAAAATCAACCAGGCCCATTCACCAAATGGAAAGAAAGAGGAATCACAGGAAAAAGAAAAGCCCAAGTGCTAATCCCAAAGTGGAAATGCTTATCTGCATAATGTGTTTTCTGTTTAGTTTTATTTCCTACATAAAGTAATATTATGGCGGGTGAAGAAAGAAAGAGTTTGAAAGAAAATAGAAGAGTGAACTAGGTAACTTTTGCCTCAAACAGACAGGGCTTAAAAGCCCAAAATAATAGAATTTGTGCTCAGAAATGACAATCATAAAGCAGAAAACACGTGAATGTGATGCTCAGCTGATGGACTGAGTGAATGGTGACCATTTGCAGAACAACTTGAAAGTTTATTCTTAGTTTTCCAATGGTAATCTATGTAATTCAGTGTTGTGTCAAATCAGATATATAAAAAGCTGATAAATTTTATGCTAAGTATGATTTACTACAATTTTAAAAAGTATATTAGGAAAGTAGAATGCAATGTGTCATACTCCAAATAAAATAACAAACTCAGACTTCTTATTTCCCTAGAACTTTTTAAATACAAGTCTAGTTGTGTGTATGTGTGAAGTACTACCGTGTGAAGGTTAGGAAAAGCTGCTCAACAGAGGAAAAGTATCTTACATTTGGCCAATATATATTCTTAACCCAACCAAATAGTTCAAGTAAAAAGCCAAGACTCATGTCAAGACTTTAAAAGTCATGATTAAATGTAAAAACTGGGCATATGCCTATACAGAAGAAAACAATATTCATTATTATTTATTTAAATTATACCCAAAGATTATTCATAGCACTCAAATTTATCTGAAAGAAAAAAATCAGCAGTAAAATATTCTGAGTACTAACAGATCCAACAGGAAACATTAGTAATTTGATGGTTTACCTTACTATCAGAATACAAAAATAAGTTCCCTTTTTTGAATTATTGTTTGAAAAGGGATGTGGTGTTTAAACCATGTTATTTCCCAGAGTTTGATAACAAGAAATACATTCTCAGTTTATTTCACATATATTTTTTAAGTTGAAATACTAAAGTAAAATGAAACCATGCAAGAAATAACACAAGACTTGGATTTCACATACCATGGCAATTGGAAAAACAAAAAAGTGTGTAACACATTTCTTTCCCTGATACTGAATATATTACATAAATAAATGGACATTTAAAATGCAATTTAGATATATTTTATGGTCATCAATGATGTCAAATTAAAACAGGTATTATATACTCAATGCCTAGGTCTGAAGTATTTAAAAAAGCTCAATATGTTAAATGCAGTATATCTCTAGAGAAATTAGGTATTGACTGCACGCCTCAGTGAGTAGAAAAATCTACAAAAATCTATACCACACATTGATCCAAATATTGCTTTTTAACATTCCTAAGAATGTAACAAATTTTAAAATAGTATATTTGACACAAATTTAATTCTCTTTAATTATCAGGCAACAAGCCCAAAATATGTCAATGTTTATACATGCTAGTTTTTATGAATAAAAATTTAATAATGGAAGAAATAAGCACAACATATATTACTCTGATTTTATACTAAATGAAGCACTTTAGCCACTTAGAAAATATTAAGTCACACAAGAAAATTGAGTTTGGAAGAATAACCACAATTTTTAAAAATATATATAGATAAATAGATGTATGACAGTTCTAGGCACAGTTTATCCATTTAGCCATCTGTCCACCCATCCCTATATATCTCTACACATATTTTCTTAATTTGTAATAACACAAGGTATTAGATAAAATGTTTTCTTTCTTTTCCTTTCAACTCCTCCTTTTACATAAAGTTGAATTAGAAAATGCTTAAGTGAAACAGGTGACTAGCATCTTACACAAGCTCCTTCAATACAAAAACCCAATTAATCCACAGAAAAATGAGACTTAGCTTCATTTTTTGAATAACCACTACAAAAAATAGCAGAGACCAGAGAGTCTGATGAAGTTAATAGTCCCTACTGAGCACTTAACACATAAGTCAGTTTTACATGGAAGCCTGAATATTTCTCAGCTTGACCAGACAGAGACATACACCTGACACTTCTGCTTTGACAATTAGAAGTTCTATATCCTAGTGGTAATTTTTTTGATCTTTATGCTTTCCTTTGCATTATCCTTCCTCAGTGTTTATTAAATATCATAGGTGGACTAGTACAGAAAGATTTTTCTGGGTTAAAGACTACCTAGTGAATGTACTGAAAGTAAACGCATGAATATTAATGAATCTGACCTGCATTTACCTATAAGAATTTATAACACTGTTAACTCTGGTTTCTAAATATGACTAAATGATTATTTCATTTCTAATAAAATCCTAAACTAAAATGTTTTATATTGGAAAATTAAGTGCAAAACATTAGGAATGAATAGTATTCAAACATTTCAAGATATCAAACCTTCTATTTTATATTCCAGACTAAAACTGCATATTAAAATGTCAGCAAATATGTGTGTATGTATCTATGTGTGCATGTATTCATGTGTATGTATGTGTATATATATGTATGTGTGGATATCTATATTTATATCTGAATCTACATATAGATATCAATATGCCTAGAAATTAGTGTAAATCCTATTTGAAATGCATTAAGAGAATGTACTATTTTATAGGAATCCTGAGACATCTTTGATAAAAGTGAATGAATATTCATTCCAGCATATGACCTTCCAGAAAATACTAAAAATATTCCTCCCAGGGATGTAATGTCATCTGTCTAGGATCATTCTCAGTTCAGTCTTCTCCCCAAACCTAGTATGGTGAATTCTACCAAACACATTCAACGTGCACTAAGATTAGGGAGAAAAAAATTTAAGTAGGCTACAGAATAGAAATGTGTTCTAACCTTTCATAAGAGCAGTACAATGAAAATAGCACCCTAAACTGTAAAATTAACTGAAGAGGGCTTTAAGAATTACCACAGTCCAAACTTCGACCAGAGTAACATGTAACAACTCTATTTCCCCTTCAACAATCACAATGGTTTCTTAGCTACTTCAATGCTCGAAACTAGACTTGAGCAGTAGTAGAGCTATTAGTTAAAAAAGTGGCCCAATCACATGCTGGTATCATTATTAATATAACTAGACTAATGCTTAAGAATCTGTATAATGAATTTCTAGTTATACCACTATCTAAGAAATACTTTAAGGCTTCTGAAAATTCTATTAGGTATAACAGAATAAGACAAAGATGAAGAATGAAATTCACTAAGAGTGAAAGAAGTTTAAATAGAAAAAAACACTATCAATGAGCCTTTAATTCTTACATTTCTTAATTTAGTTGAAGCTATGTCTCATTTTCTCTTTAAGTGTTCATTGATTTATAATAATATGAATGGTAAAAAAAATTACTCAACACTACAAAATTTCTGAATAATCATTACTTTTCTAACCAAACTATACTTGAAAAAAAGAAGTAGTGTTTTCTTTTATTCTGACCAGTAACATAAGCACCAATTTCCATTTCAGAAAATTTAACCGACAGTTCTTTCAAGAAGGTATACAACTAAAATACTTGTTTCACTTCTTCATTAGCCTACCTTAAACTTATGTAGGTTTTAAGTATTCTAGAAAATGATCAAGACCCTCTACATTACATAGTCAATGGTCCCTTTAATAAAACAGGCAATGATATACCATTGTTTTTATCAACTAAACTCATTAGAAAGTATCAGTTTAGGGTTTGATGACCATTAATAAGTGCAAATGTCTTAATTGTCCTTAAGTGAAAATGTAATCCTTTCAAAGCTGTTAAAATGATTTTGTTTGGTTTAGCATTTTTGGAAATACTTCTATAAACAAAGTTTACAAAAAATATAATTTTGAAAGCCAAAGTTTTTCAATAATCACCACTTTTTCACTAGCATAACATTAGAATTGACTTTTTGTCTTGCTGACAGAGCAACTAAGAAAGTACAGTTGCATTGACCATATTGATTGTGAACAAAGCAACCATCAGTGGGACTCCGTACCATATATTTTCAATATTGACCTTCTACTTCCTTTTCCATGGCTTTCTGGGTCAGCTATTGGATTTCGACTGTAGTGTAATAAACAGCTAAGGTTTAATTAATGGTAAATGAATACAAGACATAGGTTATGACTTTAACTAATTAGGGAATTGTTGAATTAAGTCTGCCTTGGAATGCAAGGCAGTACAATCAATATCCAATAAAAGGACTATGTATGTAATTTACCTGCAAATGTGTTTCCAATACCATCAAAGTGAGTTTAAATAAGTAAGATATATGAAAGGCAACTAGGAGAGATTTCCACAAGTTAACACTTTATGGTTTCAGAAAAGATACCCTCATTGTTGAAAGATATCTTCTAAAGTCCTGATAAGGTCACAATGGAAAAAGAGGAATAATTATTTACATGTCATATTCACTTAATCTGCGATATTCACTATAGCATAAAAATTCAGCACTGACCTCCAAGTTTAACCTACACACGCTAGTGATTTTTTAGCCAAAATAAACATCCAGGTTCAGTGCCCACAGCACAGTGATTATGGTGCTGACCACATACACCAAGGCTGGCAGGTTGGAACACAGCCCAGGTCAGCTAAACAACAATGACAACTGCAACAACAGTATCAACAAAAAAAGCCAGGCATTGTGGTGGGCACCTGTAGCTACTTGGGAGGCTGAGGCAAGAGAATTGGTTAAGCCCAAGAGTTTAAAGTTGCCGTGAGCTGTGATGCTACAGTACTCTATCAAGGGCAATAAAGTGAGACTCTGTCTCCAAAAAAAAAAAAAAAAAAAAATCCAGTTTTACTATGTTGACACTCTTTTGCTCCCTCATCACCTGTCATAGTCTGTATCTTCTCCCTGTTAGAAAAAATACTCATTGGCATAAGAGGAATTCACTACTTTTGACAAAAATCCTACCAGTGTTCTTATTCTTCAAACTGACTACTCAAAGGTCATTTCACACAGGCTTCTTACCCTTGACTCTAATCATTCTTCTGAAATAAAAATAAGAAGAAGAAAAAAAGAAACTCACCTACTCCCTTATGGGCATCCAAGCTAGTAAACTCTATTGTCCCATTATGGCCTTTTCTAGGATTTTCCTGATACTGTTTGTGGTTCCCAATGGGACAATATCTGTAGGAAAGTCCATAATCTGCGAGATAAACCTGAAAGACATGAAGAAAATGAATAATGCTTTTGTCCTCTGAAAACGTAACCTTTTTAATTAAGTCTTAAGAAACTGATAGGTTTAGAACAGCCTCAGACCTACATTTAATAACTAAATGGTGTCTTAGGATAAAATAGATGCAACTGGGGGCCATTAAAACTAATTTTCCAACTTAAATCCTTACTTCATCACTGACATATCTTGTTTTGGCACTGACCTAGAATTTTAATCTCTTTATTTTGCTCCTAAATTCCCTTCCCTCCAGGTGGACATCCAGATATTATAAACCACAATATGTCTTTTTATCTGTATTCATACAGTTTATGAGGCTTTGCCTTTTCCTGTAACCCCTTCCTGAAACATGAGACTGCTCCAGGGTCTACTTTTACATGACTTTCCTTTTGCTTCTGCCACATCAAGATAGCAAGGCCAACCTGCTCCCCTTCTTCCTCATCTTACTCAACGTGAAGAAATGAAGACCTTTCTGATGATATAGTTAAACATTATGTGCAAATTTTTAACTATGAAGGGGGAGCTCAGAGCCCCCAACCCTGGAATTGTTCAAGGGTCAACTGTTACTCCAATATTATAAAAGTAATATTAACAAGAAATATAAACAAAGTAAAGGGACTGTAACAGATAATGAGTCAAAAAACCCAGAAAATACCATCATGTTATCTATGTTTAAAAATGGAAAACCAGCATCAGACTTTGGCCTCTGGATCATCACCGTTATCTTTGTAAGTCACTCAGAACTGCAAGCAGGGTCTTCAGATAGAATATAGATCATGAAAAGTCAGATAACAATTCAAGTGAATTTACCTCAAATTACTTTTGGTAAGCGAAGGAAGGGGGAGGAGTGGCTTTACAGATATAGCACACATTGGACAGAGAACTGTTTTGACTAGACATTTATTATGACATGTCGTCAGAGAACAGTAGTTTCCAACTATGTTACTATGCTTCTTCCCCACCCCCTAAAGAAAAAGCAGGTTCAACTTTTCAAACGTATCATTTCATATACATTTCTTTAAAATGTAGGGATTCAGGCAATGTTTCATGATGTAGCTTCAAGATAGGAGTATTGAAACATAATCTGCACTTTAAAATATAATATCTATTAAAAGAAAACTCAGCATTTGAATGTTAGTTTTAAGTTTTTGGCTTTAGGATAGCCTAAGAAGGAGATATTTAAAACTTTAAAATATAAAGAGCACAGTTTTCTTCATTTGTTGAAATAACTTGCTAGACTGTCTGAAAACAAATATTTCAGTTTGTCACTCTTTCCCAAAGATACTATTTCTCAACACGGCCTCAGAAGTAACTGATCTCACTGCCCTAAGTAAACCAGACACTTCAGGATCAGATATAGAGCTAGGTGCTTGCTTCCACTGTTGCTGATGCATTTTTGTCATTATTTCAAGAACTAAATAGACTTCACATTGCAAAGTAGATATTCCAAAAAAGTATACATTGATAATTCATCAAATGGAATATTTATGCAAATAGAATATCCTGCATAAGAGCAGTTTACTATTTTTAAAAAGAGATATCAAGAAACTTTTTATGTAGTCATTACCCCCAAAACTAAGTCCTAAATTGTATGGAATATCTAATGTACCAGGCAGTATGCTAATTGTTTGACATTCATTGACCTATGCAATTGTCACAGAAGTCATATAAGGAGGTACCATTATCTCTGCTTTATTTATATGGAACCTGAAGCTTAGAGAGATCAGGTGACTCATGCAGCAAAATGAAGTCAGGATTCTATGGCAGTTTTGACTATAGAGCCTTTACTTTCAATCACTGCCAAAGAGAAATTATATCAGGTAAGTTAAAGAGAAAGGAAGACTTCACTCAGCACTATTGCAATAATGAGACTAATACAACAGGAGACAGAGTCTAAACTCAGATCCCCTGAAACAAAAGGCAGTAAGGGTGTGAAGCACGGGGGAGAGCTAGTGCAAAAGTCCTGGAGGAAGTCAGTGGGGGGGCTGGCCAGTGTGAGTAAGCCATCCATGTCTGCTAACTGGTGCTCAGCCTCGCCCCTCCTAAGACATTACTGTCCCGAAAAGGGTGAGTCCCATTCCTGGGTTGTAAAATGGGCAAGAGACTGGCAGGAGACTTATATATCTCAAGGCTCAGTGAAAGAATTTACAATTTCAAGTTTTCTTAAGTAAATGAGCTTTAAAGATGGAGGTTGTGGGGCTTACAGTCAGGAAGAAACCTTTCCGGAGTGTAGCCAAGCTGAGGTGAACACTAAGGCTGTCCTGGTCCTTACCGAGCTACAGGTCTCAGGGTTGTGCTAGACTGAACTTTGAAGCAAAGTAGAGAGTTTCATTAGGCAGACAGCTAGGATCTCTGCTTTTCTCTGGACAAGGGAGCTTTGCCTTGGTGCTACCTCAGGCAACTGCCCCACCAGAGAAGGATAAGAGCAGATGCTCCTCAGTCTCCATGCTGTTCTACCATTAATTCTATCCCAAGCAACTGCTATAGCTGGAGAATGAAGAAACTCTCACCAATCTGGGGATTCCCCAGCCAGGCAAAGTAAGATTTAGAAAGTGGCCTATAGTAACCTAAGGCTAATTAGCATGTCATTAGATTTAATCTATATGTGGTTCACACACAGCCCCCATACACCAGGTGGGCTATATGAGAGGAAGCTGGGTAGCAGATAAAACCTTGAGAACACCTGTTAATCACAGGGACATCCCACACCTCATAAAAGCCCTCCCCTAACCAGGACAATAAAAGAAAATAACAGAATTGTTTCTCAGAGGGAGAGGAGGGAGGGAGAAGGGGAGGGGGATAGAGGCAGGAGAAAGAGAAAAGAGAGAGGAGGGAGGGAGGTCAGAGGGAGGAAAGAGGGGAGAAGAAAGAGAAAAGAGAGAGGGTGAGGAGGGGGGAAGGGAGGGGAGAGAGGAGAGAGGGGGAAGAGGAAGAGGGAGGAGAAAGGGAAAAGAATGAAGAGACAAGAGAGGAGGGGGAGAGAGAGGAGGGAGAAGAGAGAGAAGGGAGAGAGGAAGGAGGAGATAGAGGAAAAGGGAGAGAGAGGAGGGGAGAGAGAGGAGGGGGAAGAGAGAAGGGGAAGAGAGAGGAGGGGGAGAGAGAGGAGGAGAGAGAAGAGAGGAGAGGGAGAG